CATTCATATCCAACGCGTCATACAGCTGCGGTGTGTAGGACGGCTACAGTTGAGTGTTGTCATATCGGAGTGATTACGTGAATCGATCTGCTATGTGTAGGCAGGGCTGTAGTGGGAACTGGAGGGTGTGCTAAGATCCGGAAAAAAATAAACTAAGTTTCTGTACTTGAAACATGGGTGCAGTGGATTCGTCCTCGACACAAACTAACGCGGACTACTCATATACCTCCGTGCCGCACAGAAAAAATGTGGGTATAAATAGTATAACTGTAGGTATATACAATATAGTGGTAGGTATAAATAGGATAATGGAGGCACATATAATATAAATGTAGGTATAAATTGTATAAATTTAGATATATATAATATGAATGTAGGTATAAATATTTATACACGATATAAATGTAGGAATAAATATTATAAATGTAGGTATATAATATAAATTTAGGTATAAATGGTATAGATATACGGATGAATAATACATATGTGGGTATTAATAGTATACATATACGTATATATAACATACATGTAGGTATGAATAGTATGTATGTAGGTATAAATCAAACACACAAGGCAAAATGTCGGTGTGCCCTGAGGAGTTCTAAGAAATCACGTTCCATACCATTGACGGGCATAAAAAGTAGGCCATAGTCATCTGGGATCTGATGAAGATCAGTTTGTCTTGCGAGTAGGAGGCTGAGATGTGGCAGGCAGCTACCTTAGCTATCCATACGCATTGTAAACTCGCATTCATTTATCATGGCCCTTTGGATCGCTGTCTCTGCGAAGACAGCATGGTATTCTCCATAGGCTTCTGAATAAACACGCACAACCTTCTGAATAAACATGCATAACCTTCTGAATAAACAAGCCTTCTGAATAAACATGCATAGCCTTCTGAATAAACATGCATAGCCTTCTGAATAAACACGCATAGCCTTCTGAATAAACATGCATAGCCTTCTAAATAAACATGCATAGTCTTCTGAATAAATATGCATAGCCTTTTGAATATATATGGTATTCTTCTTAGCCTTTTAAATAAATATATTCGTTGGAGGCCATTTAGCAACGACTCCCAACCAGCGCGGCCAATACAGTTTATTCAATACAAACGCCTATACTCGGTGTGATCATCGAAGTATTGTTTATTGTTTGTGTCTGTGGGTCTATCTCGACCGGCTGTATATGCCATATGCACTGATTGCAACCCATTCGCAACCTAAAGCAAACACAACTCAGCTCTCCCCTGCCTATCCACGGTACGGCTAGTACAGCTACATGTCTAATTCGATCAAAGGAGTTCGGCTCTATGCAATTGCTTTTTCCTGTTCAATGCAGCGTCTTGGACCCGAATACCAGAACCCATAATAATGTCCCGATTTGAGTATATAACAAGTTTATATGTTGGCTTCAATCCTGATATGTACATAGTGCATGACAGTGCCCCACTCGCACACGCGAATATATACATATACGTATATATTATATATATATATCTATATCTATATATATATATATATATGTATATCCCTCTCGTCATGGATACATGGTGTCGTTCTCCGCGCGTGGTCGACACTCGTACGAGGCATGTGTGGGCACCAACAACGTGTTCTTGATCATCCGCACACGCACATGGCCCTTGAACGTCTCGTAGAACTTCCTTTCTCCCGGCCCCAACCCCACCGGCACCACTTTAGCGCCCACCAACTCCTCACCTTCGTAGGCAGAGTCCTTGGCGTCACACACACCACACGTATACGCCAGAATAAAGATGCAGTTGTCCAGATTGTGGACAACTTCGAAGACCGGCGAGTCACTAAGGACTGCCCCGCATTTAGAACATGTGGTCACTTGCACCGTTATCTTAAGACAGGCGATCCGGGGGTACTCCTTGGGTCTCTGTGTGCGCAGAGGGAAGGAACGGTGTAGCGGTATTCGAGTGGATGTATATAGAGAACACCGGTACCAAAGCATAGAAAGAGATTATATCTAACTCTATACTACTCAATTATGTAGTCAACTCGGTTATATGGTCTTTTGTTGTGGACTATGTAACATTTACAGAGTGCCAATGTACCGCATGCAAGTCAAGACATAAGGACTTAAAAAAGTAATTGGTTTGGTGATATCAGTGCACGCTGTATAAATGAGACGAATGTCTGGTATACGAGTGTATATGGGGGGGGGCACCAACGGGGTCTGGTATGTATTAAATGTGAAGCTAGTGTTAATTTCCAGTCGTATGTATGTATATGTATATCACATATACCTACGTATATATACATACATACATACATACACACATACATATATAAATACATACATACATACATACATACATACA